TAGACCTAACCCTGACCCCAAACCCTAACACTAAGCCTAGCCCTAACCTAAGCTCTAACCTGAACCCTTAACCCTAACCCTCAACCCTATCCCTACACCCTAACCCCAACCCTACCCCTCACCCTAAACCCTAAACCCTAACCCTAACCCTAAACCCTAACCTCAACCCCAACCCTGACCCTAAACCCTAAACCCTAGCCCTAAACTCTAAACCCTAACCCTAAACCCTAACCCTAACCCTAAACCCTAACCCCCAAAACCCTACACCCTAAACCCTGACCCTAAACCCTAACCCTAACGCTAACCCTAACCCCATACACCCTAACCCTTAACCCTAACCCTAACCCTAAACTCTAGCCCTAACCCTAACCCTAAACCTTAACCCTAACCCTAGACCCTATGACCTAACCCTAAACCTTAACCCTAACCCTAAACCCTGAACCCTAAACCTTAACCCTAAACCCGAACCCGAACCCTAACCCTAAACCCTCACCCTAACCCTAAACCTTAACCCTCAACACAAACCATACCCCTAAAACTAAACTAAACCCCTAACCCTAAACCCTAAACCCTAAACCCTAAACCCTAAACCCTAAACCCTAAACCCTAAACCCTAAACCCTAAACCCTAAACCCTAAACCCTAAACCCTAAACCCTAAACCCTAAACCCTAAACCCTAAACCCTAAACTGCAGGCGCGGCCCTGGGGGCGCGCATCGCCACGCCTGTAGGATCTGCTAGTGAGAGCGAGCTGCCAGTCGAGCTCACCGCCACAATCGGCCTGCCGGCCTGAGGCTGTGTCTCGCTCAGAAACACATAACCCCTAACCCGGGGCCGGATGCTCCCAAATCGCGGCCGGCCCTGGTGAGTTTAGGGTATTGGGCCGCGGGTTTAGGCTTTCCCTTAAAAACCATTGGATTTCCTTAGAAACTGCCCCAGGACGCGTGGCTTCGCTACGGAAGCGCGCTGCGGCGCTTAGATAGCCGAAATCGTAAAATTAGCGCTTGGGTTTGCCCGCCGCCGCGCTGGTCCCCCTTGTCGCGCTCGCATGCAGCCTCTCTGATATCCAAGCACTTGTATCGGCGCTTAAAAACCTCCGGATTTGCTAAAAACTGACCCCAGAACGCTTGGTTTCTCTGGAAGAGCGCGCTGGGGCAGGTTTTATTGCCGAAGGCGTACATCCAATGGTCCAAAGGTTCTGTGCGTCCGCCGGCCAAAATCCTCCCTGATGCCGGCCGGCATCACGGAGGATTCTGGGGGGTACCCACAACGAGCTCCCCCGGGCTCCTTGGCTCCTTGTGGGCTCCCATAACGAGCTCCCCCAGGCTCCTTGTTGGCTCCCACAACGAGACCCCCTTCCCCCCAGAGCTCTCCCCCAGAGCTCCCCCCAGAGCTCTCCCCCAGAGCTCTCCCCCAGAGCTCTCCCCCAGAGCTCTCCCCCAGAGCTCCCTCCCAGAGCTCTCCCCCAGAGCTCTCCCCCAGAGCTCTCCCCCAGAGCTCTCCCCCCGAGCTCTCCCCCAGAGCTCTCCCCCAGAGCTCTCCCCCAGAGCTCTCCCCCAGAGCTCTCTCCCAGAGCTCTCCCCCAGAGCTCTCCCCCAGAGCTCCCTCCCAGAGCTCTCCCCCAGAGCTCTCCCCCAGAGCTCTCCCCCAGAGCTCTCCCCCGGAGCTCTCCCCCAGAGCTCTCACCCAGAGCTCTCCCCATGAGCTCTCCCCCAGAGCTCTCCCCCAGAGCTCTCCCCCAGAGCTCTCCCCCGGAGCTCTCCCTCCAGAGCTCTCCCCCAGAGCTCCCCCCCAGAGCTCCTCTCCAGAGCTCTTGGCGTGAAGGAGCTCCCAGAGGATCGTTCCCAGGGTAGTGAACAAAACATATCCTCAAGAGCGTGCGCAGACCTCTCTGGGAGAGCTATACCAAGGAAAATTACCGATATACCGGATTCACATTCCCCCGCCCGCGCGGGCCTAGGTCGCACGCGTAACTTTCGCGAAGGACGACTCTTCTCATTCATCCCTGGTACGCGGCCACTAACTCTTGCCGACGCCTGCACACTTCCCCCCTTGCTAGGGGGGAGCGAGGGGGGTAGACCACCCTAAACCCTAAAAGCAATGACTCTGGGCGGATGGGGCGGGACTCAACGCACCCATCCATCCCCCCCTACACCCTGGTGAGGGGGGGATAGGATGGTTCTGCTCGGAAACCCTAAACCCTAAACCCTAAACCCTAAACCCTAAACCCTAAACCCTAAACCCTAAACCCTAAACCCTAAACCCTAAACCCTAAACCCAAACCCTAAACCCAAACCCTAAACCCTAAACCCTAAACCCTAAACCCTAAACCCTAAACCCTAAACCCTAAACCCTAAACCCTAAACTGATGCGCGACCCCTCGACGGGTCGCGCACCGATGTCGAACCTTGTCCGCTCTGAAAGCGAGCGATAGTCGAGCGCCCAGATCGTTATCGGGCCGGCGCACGCGCTGAGCTTCGGCTCTGAGATAACCCTGAACCCTGGTCTCCTTTGCTCTGGCGGCTCCCGTCTTGGCCCCTGGAAGGATAAACTTCATCTGGCAGCGCTTGGGAGCGCTGGGGGGCGCCTGGGAGCGCCTGGGAGCGCTTGGGAGCGCTTGGGAGCGCCTGGTAGCGCTTGGGAGCGCCTGGTAGCGCCTGGTAACGCCTAGGAGCGCTTGGGAGCGCGTGGGAGCGCCTGGGAGCGCCTGGGAGCGCTTGGGATCGCCTGCGAGCGCCTGGCAGCGCTTGGGAGCGCCTGGTAGCGCCTGGTAGCGCCTGGGAGCGTCTGGGAGCGCGTGGGAGCGCCTGGGAGCGCCTGGGAGCGCTTGGGAGCGCGTGCGAGCGCTTGGGTTGGGAGCGCCTGGGAGCGCCAGGCCAGAGGCCAGGCCCGCCCGCTCAGCCCGGCCAAACAAGCATGGGAGCGCCGGGGAGCGCTTGGGAAGCGCCTGGGAGCACCTGGGAACGCTTGGAGCGCTTGGGCAGCGCCTGGGAGCGCCTGGGAGCGCCTGGGGACGCCTGGGAGCGCTTGAGAGCGCCGGGAACGCTGTGCAGCGCCAAGGAGCGCTTGGATGCGTTTGGGAGCGCCCGGGAGCGCCTGGGAGCGCCTGGGAGCGCCTGGGAGCGCTTGGGAGCGCCGGGGCGATCTG